AAAAAAAAAAAAAAAAAAAAAAAAAAAAAAAAAAAACAATATATAGGAAAATGGTGAGTTATTATTCCACCAAGATACCACCAACTAATTATTTTGATCATGGGTTTGATACAAATTAGAGTGGGAAAGTTATGTTTGTTTTAATGATTTTTTTTTTCATTTTCTTAAAAAAATTGAGGATGTTCTCCAATGTTAATATCTAATCCTATGTTGCCCCAATTAGTGGAACTTTCCTACAAACACAACTTTTTTCAACTTTATGTTGTTTGTGTTGTGCACAAGAACCCAAATTTTCATTATAGCTATAATTTAGTAATTTTTGGGAGGCTTCATAAGTAGTCAGCAACCGTATATTCTATAACCCAACTTGCACATAATAAACTCTGTTGATGTTTGAAACCACATGTTAACAAAGATAGTAAAATAACATGTCATATGTCAATGTTACATGATATGTAGAAGCACAAATCAAAGTACCATGGCACTATTAACAGCAAAATACGCAAAAGTAGCATAACAACATATAGCCACGTCTGTACCATTCATTGCATACTAATACATATTCAAAACAACCATTTGCTATTACATACTATGCAAAAGAAGCAAAACGTGATATACCGACACTGGTACCATTAATTCATTTCTGAAGCTACGAGTATTTATAATGATCTTCAAGGATTCAAGTATTTCTAAAGAAAAGGTCAAGCTCGTCATTATTCTTAACTAAGTACTTCGCTACCACCAACCTTTGCACCATTGTGAGTTGTGTCATGGGTTCGAGGGCTTCAAAAATTTGTTTGCGTTGCTCTTTCGCATCCTGTTGAAACCCCACACGTGTAAGTAATTTGGACACATTTTTCTTAGTTTCATCACACAAATTTGAGAGAATCCCAACGACTTGTTCATCCAACGGCGCATCTCTATTTTTTTGCTTTCTACCTTGCTTATCTTTTCCGGATGCACTATTCTCAACCCCATGCCCCGAATCACCATAATCATTGTGATCTTCAACGCCAAATTGGCTTGCGGCTCCCTCAACCTGTGTATCATCAATTGGTGTTTGCTCCCCCGTCTCGCTAAACGCATCAGCAAATCCTTGAGGACCCTCCCCCATAGCACGATCCTTTCCAAGTATCTCTACCTAATCATTAAAGAAAGGAAATGGCTTGTGGCACAATGATTTTGCTTTCGGATGAGCCTACACATATAAGAAGCACAATTTAGTACGCGGTACTTGTAATATTACTAAAAACCAACTGTTCCGAATGAGATAAGAATTTACCTTAACATAAGCTTCCCAAACATCATCCTTCACTGAAAGGGATTGGCCTGACCAACCGATCCCAGACATACTCGCCAAACATGCAGAGAGCTCCCCATAAGTCTTCTTCCAAACAGTGATCTTTGACGAAATATGCGGTTCTGCTTTAATGTTAGATCCGGGCACTACTTGACAGATATGTTGTTTCAATTTACCGGTGTAGCCTGAACGAAAACTGTTATCGCATTTCCACCCCTAGGCTATAATGTCCTTTAGTCCCGAAATTAATGTGGGTTCTCCCTGAAGCGTCCAAATTCGACGTGCATTGGGTGTAGTTGACGTACGTTTCTGGCTGATTGCGGAGTCCATTATTCTGTGTAGACACACCAAATAACAACCAAAGAGAGCTCTAATATAAAAAGCCACAAACTCAAAATTCATCCATGCATCCTTTTGGAAGACATTGTGTATGCATTAATGACAGCAAGTTGTCGGACAGGGGAAAAATTTCATAAAAAAAAAATATAGTCTATAAGAAAAACGAGAGCAAGGGTCCAATTTGAAATACAATGATCATAGACTAATATAAAGTAACATGGACTAATAGAAACCACTACATATCCGATGTAAGGCACTCAACCCCCACCATGCCACTCATTAAACATTGACATAATAGAGCTTCCCTCCAATTTGTCCAATCGTTTGTTGGCTCTACGACGTCCACGTAGTCGCTTGGATGTACCATTTCTTGTGTGCTAGGATCATTCAACAAATCCTCTCCATCAAAATCAATTGGATTTGTGTAACTATATCGAAAAATGCTTTGCTCCTAAGGACCGCCCATCTCATCTTTAACACTCCAAAAGCGTGTTTTATCACGTTTCGTGCCCTAGCATGTCTTAAGTTAAATAATTCTCTATGGTTTCTAGGTGCTCGTGGACCGTCATCGAAATCATGCAAATGATATCTCACGCCCCTAAACGGTGTAAGGAGCCCGGGCCCATTCGTGTATCCGCCGTTGCATAGATAATAGTTGCCTGTGAATAATATATTTCAGAAAAAAGAAATTTACTATATATTTCACTGCAACAATGAACTATTTTGTGAAAATTAATGGATGAGCTAACCGGTGGGCGCACGTAAACCATCGGGATGCGCTAAGACATCTCTTAAAACGCGGCTATTTGCGGCGGATCCTTCCCTACCAACCAACACGAACGAAAAGTTCATGTCAACAATGCACACTCCAATAACATTGACAGAAACAATTCCTTTACGATTTTTATAATGCGGATGCAAATACACGTACCGGAATGTACGTTCCGTCTAACGCACCCAAACATCCCTACCACATGAGAGAATATGAAAAAAATATTAGTCGATTAATCAAGGCTGCACCAAACCATTTCTTATAGATATATTTATGAAAAAATTTTGTTTTTCTTTCTTTTGTGCATCCTCTCCATCAAAATATGATACGAGGTGTATTTGAGTCTAAAGTTTTACCTTAAACCGCCACCATTTCCAATCGTTGTTGTTCTCTTCAACAGGTTTAGGATGTACGACAAGGATTGGGTACAAACGTAGAACAACTTTGAGTACATCATGAAAAACCCTACTAACTGTTTGCCCCAACCGTCGAAAATCATATTTGACAACCGCATTTATTTTGTGAGGGGCTAAAACGCTCAAGAACATTGCTACCTGCTCACTCACTGTGATATTGCGACTGTTTTGTAGCTTGCCCAGATTTTCTACTAGGTAGCACAACTGCCCGAAGGCATTTCGATCCATTCGAAGTTGTTCAACACAACTTGTATCGCTAATTAAAATTAGTTCCTGCATGTGTTGGAATTGTTTTGGGAGACGTTCTGACATACTAAACGATGCGGGGGTGTGGTTGTACCATTGTACGCCGACGCTTACGTTTTTTAGTCAACGTTAGGTAAAAATAAGCAAGCACGAAGACAAGTTTCAACATATTCATAATTTGCTCAACCATCAAAAGCACTTCCACTTCCTCCATTTCAACGTGCATCGTAACTGCGTATAACTATCAATTGGCACAGAACAATGAGAACAAACTCAACACATAATATCGTAACCTAGTACAACTATAATAAACACCTCTCATATTAATGCACAACTCAGGACAACATTCATGCCGGTAGTAGGTACAAACTTCGAAAAACTTGAAAAATAAACAACATATAATAGACTATTATTTTGGGTGTCAATTAGCGGGTTAGATTACTGTTGGGATATGTGAGGATCTCGTTATGTACAAGTCACGAATTCAATAGCAAACGTAAACCTATGCGCAGCGGATCTAAAGGTTTGACGTAGAGAACTTACTGCTTCAAATTTATGTAGATCTAGTTGACCACGAACGGTTGACCGCAAATCACGTCTTGGGTTGCACGAACAAGATCAGATCAAAACTGGATCAAACGAGTGCAAACAGATGAAGATGAATATTGCAGCCTGGGAGCTTCCGACGGCGCGTGCGGGCACGTGTGGCCTCAGGCGGCGGCGATGGAAAGCTCTCATCGAGACGGTCGTCTGGGTATGCTGTGCGTCTCAATCGGACCTCTGTTAGTTCTGTAGGATAAAATATATTTCGTCTCGGTTTACGTACAGATCTTCTACTGTATTACTCAATACACCCTTCTTCAACTTGTACCAGTGGAGCAACAAGAAGAAGATAAAGCTCGAATGAGATCTAGAGAGAGAGAGGCGTGGGACGTCTCATGTTAGAATAGGAATTCTCTTCTCTTCTCATGAGCTTAATGATGTATATATAGAGCTACAGTAGGGATCCTTAGGAGATTAGAAAAAGGGCTCCCTAATTAATTAGACTAACTATGGGCCAAGCCCACTCTAATTAATTAAATAATATTAATGGGCCACCAACATTATATTATTGCACTCCCATCTCCTAGCCCAAATTACATTTGAGATTCCAATAATAATTACTCGATTTACCTCCCCTTGTTTAAGATATAATGTCTGTTAATTAATTCGATTATTGACAATCAAGAATTAATTAATTTATTATTATTTCACCGAAGCTAGCGCTCGTTCATCACATTCTTATTATGTCGGAACTTAATCTACCTGCAGAGTTTAGCATAACAATCCTTCATGAACTCACTCCGGGGACATCATCAAACTAACGCACATGGTGACCGTAAATCTTCTAACAACACATCCTATATATAATAATATTACCCAAAATAGTAGGAATATTAATCCAGCGAACTGAACCTCACCCATGTGAATCAAAGTAATATATATGATATATATCTGACTGTTTAATATCTTACGGGTTAAGAGAATGCAGTAATTAACCGAGGCCTAGTTCATTTACGATGATCAGTATAAAATGAACTTCTCCTCTCTGAAATCCTGTTCAATTCATAAATGTACTAGTGCAACTAATCAGTCAAGACAAACTATACAGTTGACACTACAACCGTTCGGATGGGGTGTTTATGTACATCTAGGTTGGGAACAACTATTCTTTTTCGCAAGTGCCTGATAGAGTGATCTTCGGTTCGCCCGATGAGGACCCACCCTATCTAAGTGCAGAACAACAGAACGTAGAACTTGTTTAATCTAACACGATTCTCATTCATAAAGGGCAAAAGTGTAATAACATGCAAAGCCAAGCTTTCAGTATATAACACTAACAATCTTCTACTTATAATTAAAGCTTTCGCTTTTACAGTATCATCCTATCAATCCGTTATTCTAAAAGACTTATGTCGATCCTATTGCCATGCTCATGACTCTCATTCCTTCCATGTGTTTGACGAAGACCTTCCCCGAAAAACTCTTCGTGAAAGGATCAGCTAGGTTGTCCTCTGACGCAATCTTGGCAACATCAACGTCTCCTCTACCAACGATATCTCGAATCAGATGGTATTTGCGCTCTATGTGTTTTCTTGCCCTGTGGGCTCGAGGTTCTTTTGAGTTCTCTATTGCTCCACTGTTGTCACAGTACACGATGATATCACGTGGCAAACTCGGTATAACCTCTAAGTCCACTAAGAAGTTCCTGAGCCAAACTTCCTCTTTCGCTGCCTCTGAGGCTGCTATGTACTCGGCTTCCATGGTGGAGTCTGCCACGCATTTCTGCTTAGCACTCCTCCATGAAATGGTTCCACTTCTCAAGGTAAACACATAACCTGAGGTTGACTTACTTTCATCTCTATCTGACTGGAAATCGGAATCACTGTAACCCAGAGGTAACAAGCTACCTGCACGGTAAACTAACATGTACTCCTTAGTCCTTCTCAGGTACTTGAGTATATGCTTCACCGCAGACCAATGTTCCCATCCTGGATTACTTTGATATCTAGCTACCATGCCAACGGCGTAGCTAATATCCGGCCTAGTGCACAGCATTGCATACATGAGACTTCCTACTGTCGAAGCATAGGAAACTGTCTTCATCTCCTCTATCTCCTTGGACGTCTTAGAAGACATCTCCTTAGATAGAGGTATTCCATGTCTGAAAGGTAACATACCTTTCTTAGAATCCTGCATGCTGAATCTGGCCAAGGCAGTATCTATGTATGAAGGCTGAGATAAGCACAACATTCTCTTCTTACGGTCTCTAGAGCCTAATACCAAGAATGTGTCCTGCTTCACCTAAGTCCTTCATATCAAACTGCTTAGACAACCACCTTTACATCTGACAACTCTTTCTTACTGTTTTCAATAAGCAGTATGTCATCTACGTAAAGCACAAGAAACATCTCCATGCTCCAACTGATTTTCTTGTAAACACAGTACTCATCCGGACATTGTCACCTCAGTGTGCCGTTTTGCAGTATTATGTGATGTATCTACTTGCGCACTCGGTGGGGAACCATCAACTTCAACCCTTAACTCCTCTAAGACTAATCTACTCGCGAGCTTATGATTCATAATATAGTCTTCTTCCAAGAATCTAGCGTTCGTCGAAACAATCACCTTATGATCCCCGGGACTATAAAATAATCCACCTTTCGTTTCCATGAGATAGCCTACGAAAATTTGTGCTTCCGAACGCTTTTCTAATTTGCCAGGTTTCTACACTAAAACGTGTGCAGGACTACTCTATACCCGAATATGTGAAAAGCCTGGCTTGCGTCCTTTCCACAATTCGTAAAGAGTAGTATCAACTGACTTCGATGGAACCAAGTTCAGAATGTACGATGTTGTTTCCAGCGCCATTCCCCAAAACGAATCTGGTAACCTCGAATAACTTATCATAGACCTAACCATCTCTATAAGAGTCATATTTCTTTGCTCTGCAACCCCGTTCTGCTGGGGCGTGCCGGGTGCAGTCAGTTGGGATTCAATCCCAGCTTCCGATAAGTATGTCCTGAACTCTCCAAAGAGGTATTCGCCACCTCGATAAGAACGAAGTGACTTGATACATTTACCATGAAGCTTCTCCACAACTACCCGATACTCTTTTTCTCAAAGCATTCAGACTTGCGGTGCAACAGATAAACGTACCCAAATCTCGAGTAATCATCTATGAAAGACACATAGTACTCGAAACCTCTTCTAGCCTGGATCGATATAAGACCACACAAATCAGAATGAATCAATACTAGCATTCTTGGCTCCTATACCCCTTTGTCGTAAACGGCCTCTTGGCCATCTTACCTTCCAGGCAAGATTCGCAAGTTGGATAGTGCTCTTCCAATGGACCGAGATGTCCACTGGCCACTAACTTTTGAATCCTCCTAAGGTTGATGTGCCCAAGTCTAAGGTGCCACAGATATGCTTGATTCATCTGCGAAGACTCCTTTCTCTTATTAGATGTAGTTTTGACATTATTCAATTCATTATGTTGCACTGTGGGAGAGTTTAGTTTGAGAACATTGTTGATATCAAATCCAGTAATCAGGATTAAGGTACCAAAAGTCGGAATATATTATAACAAATTGCCGACTTCTTAAGAATTGCCGATTTCCAAAAGATAACTTCGACGGATTCAAAAAAGGATTGAAACCGACATCCGAAACCGACATCAAGTCAACCGACTACCACAAAGACAGAAAGTAATCATTAGAAGCATCTGATTGGACCAACAAAACAAAAAGGCAATCATTGATGTTTCTCGCCGCCTCAAAACAAAGCAGCTCAATATTAAATGCATCTCTATCCATTTCGAGGAAGAGGACAAAAGCCACCGTACTATAAATAGCAGAATTTATGATAGTACGAGGATCTTTTTTCGATCACATTATACACGAACTTAAGACAACCTCGGTTTTCAGTTTAAAACCGACTTCTGTACTCTTGTGAACATAATCAATAAAATCCAATTAAACCTTTATCTTCATTCTTGAAACATCAACTGTGTTTAATTTTAAGTTGCTAATTCAAGACAGCAACAGTTTGGCGCTAGAAGGAGGGCCGCGGCACTCTGCTCTTCCCTTTTCAATTATTTGTCTTGTACACAACACGCAAAAGATGTCAAATTCTGGACGAAATGAACGAAATCCTGACCCTGGGATCAATCGTCATCCAACTCATACGACTGGAACTTCTGCTGTGCCATCTACATCAATTGATTGTTCAGCCCTATTTCAAGATCCAGAGTTCTTGAAAAATCTGACTGATTTTATGGCACGAACAAGGATAGAACCAACCGCGGCAGCTAATCCTCAAACTCGCTCAACTCCAGTTCCACGAAGGAATAATATTCCTGCAACATCGCATGCAACTTCCCATCCACATACACATGAATCACAACATGATGCAACAACTCAAAATCGTGGAGTAGTTCC